CSRMARSCMMCCCCCAGCCTGGGAAGCCGAGGGACGGGAACCTCGTGCTGMGTTGCTCAATCGGACTCCGTCCCCAGCGTGTCACCCCGGCAGGAGCGAGTGGCAGCTCGCACAACTCCCACTGTCTGTTTTGAGGGGAAAAAATGAAGGATGCTTGGTGTTTATGGATGTATGGAAAGGAATATATCGTGGTTGGAGTCTGGAGGGAGGGAAAAAAACCAAAAATATTGATAATCTAAAGGAAAAGGGTTTCTCTACTGATCTCTTTGGGTTCTTTCTTAGMGGGAAGTTGGATCTAATTGTCCAGTCTTTGCAGAGGTTGTTATTCTGCAGGAGGAGCAGTTGCACAGAGGGGTACCAAGCAAAGCAGCCTTAATGAGATGTGCCCAAGTGGCTCAGCACAGTCAGGTGTGCATTTATCCTGAGGGATAAACACCAATTCGTTACCCCCTTTGTGGTACCAGGAACCAGCTTTCCCTGAAAAGGCTCTGCCCTCAAACACCCTCTGTGCTCCCCCAGCAAAACTCCTGGCGTGGGAGACAGCCCCTGACTGAAGAAAGAGACYCTGCTTTTTCYGGATAACCCTAAAGTGAAGCAAAGYTTKCCACATTTTTGGGGGGTAAAAGCTTCTGGATTCTTCTTGCTCCTTGATGGATGGAGCAAAGTCAGGGGATGTGGCTGCAGCAGGTGGTGAGGGAGCCATGTGGACGAGTCATGGAGAGGTGCAGTGGAATCATAGTAARTTTGTTTCTTGTCGGTATGTGGGGCTTAAAAGGCTTAAAAGGAYCTTTCCTTGCCTTGGCAGTTGGGAATTTTAGCAGAAACCTGAAATAAATGAGAGTGGAGAGGGGAAAGGCAGACCCAGTGTTGCTCTGATTTCAGGCAAAAGCAGACCTTCCTTTTCTTGATGCTGTGACCGCGATAACTTGGTGGTGTTGTCAAAATTCCATCAAAAATCAGGATGAAATAGGAAATATGGGAAGTTTGCCCTTCCAAAGGTGTTCGTTTCACTATAAACTGCTGAACAAGATGCAACTTTCCCCCTCCTTTTTTCCCCCTTTTTTTCACGCGGTGGCCCTTGTTAATGACAATCCATTTTAAGGGCAAATCCCTGAAATTGGTTTAATTCCAGAACAATTATTTCTAATAAGTGTGGCTGGGTTGGTTTCTWTTTCAAAGCAGAGCTGAAAGCATTGCCTGAGTTTGCTGCAGTCATTCACATTTTCCATCAGCGGGCACGGAAGGGGGGTTTTCCTCCTGCGAGGACGGATTTGCTAATTGATTCCTGGCTCGGGGAACAAAGAAGGAGAGAAAATAATCGTGCTTCCTCTGGGTGACAGGAATTGTCCTCCCTTAGGGTAAAAATAAAATATCCCAGCACACCGGCACCGCTGCGAGGACTGGAATAAGGGGAAAGGAATCATTTTAAAATAAAAATAAAGCATCCCCCCATGATTTATATYCTGGAAATTGTCTGGATGCGCTGATGGACACAAGGATGGGGGACGTGGCTTGGTGCTGCTGGGCTCGATGATCTCAGAGGGCTTTTCCAACCTGAATGATCCTATGATTCCATCATATGGACCCTTGAGGGGCAGAGATGGGAAAGTACCCAAAAAAAAGCGTTGAGATGTTCTTGAGCCAAGGCAGGCAGGAGGGAAGGGGGAGAGAAGAAGGGCTTGGAAAMTTGCAGGGTGGAAGGGCTGTTTTACAGGGTTTGGGGTTTGTTGTGTTGCGATTTTTACCTCCCAAAAAAGAGAGGCGTTTASTCTGGTTCCATCCCAGAGAAACCCCACTGACGGAGCGGGGAAAGCTCTTGAGCTTGGAAKTGATCTGGGAATGACTTTAGGGTGGTAATTAGCGGGTGTGAATTAACGGGGGCTACGGAACGCTACCCGGGTGGGGCAGGGGCTGGCCGCGGGTGTGTCCAACCCAGAGCTGTCCAGACACGGCTTCCTTTGGGATCGGGAGAGAGGGTGTGCAGATTCCTTTGGGATCGGGAGCGAGGGTGTGCAGATTCCTTCGGAATCAGGAGAGAGGGTTTGCAGATTCCTTTGGGATCGGGAGCAGGGGTTTGCAGATTCCTTTGGGATCAGGAGAGAGGGTTTGCAGATTCCTTTGGGATCGGGAAAGAAGGCTTGCAGATTCCTTTGGAATCGGGAGAGAGGGTTTGCAGATTCCTTTGGAATCGGGAGAGAGGGTTTGCAGATTCCTTTGG